AGACAGAGCCTCAAGCTATCCCCCTGGGTAGAGTGCCATAGCATCACAGCTCACAGCAACCTCCAACTCCTGGGCTCAAGTGATTCTCCTGCCTCCACCTCCCAAGTAGCTGGGAATACAGGAGCTTGCCACAACACCTGGCTATTTTTTGGTTGCAGCTGTCATTGTTGTTGGTGGGCTGGGCTGGATTCGAACCCACCAGCTCAGGTGTATGTGGTTGGCACCTTAGCTGCTTGAGCCACAGTGCCAAGCCCCGGCTATTTTTTTGTTGCAGTTTGGCTAGGGCCGGTTTTGAACCCACCACCCTGGGTATATGGGGCCAGCACCCTACTCACTAAGCCATCAGCGCCACCCTGCATGCTAAACATTTTCATCTAGATGTCCTACAGATGAACTCAACATGTTAAAAGGGGAGATAATCCTTTTTTTCCACATCTCCCTTAGTGAGATGACCTCCCTCCCTCCCCCTGCTTTTTTTTTCAGGCACTCTCCCCTCCTTTTTTTTTTCAGGCAGAGTCTCCCTCTGTTGCTCCAGGCTAGCATACCATGGCATCAGCCTCAAACTCCTGGGCTGCTTCTGCCTCCAGAGTCGTCGGGACTACAGGTGCCTGCCACACACCTAGGCTAACTTTTCTATATTTGGTAGATACAGGGCTTGGCTCTTGCTCAGACTGATCTCGAACTCCAGAGCTCAAGCAATCTTCCCACTTTGGCCTCCTACAGTCCCAGGATTACTTACTTATGGCTGGCCCAGGGTGTTAGTACCTCTAACTACTTACACTCAAAACCTGAGACTCATCTAGGTCTGGGTGCAGTGGCTCATGCCTATAATCCTAGCATTCTGGAAGGCTGAGGTGGGTGGATTGCCTGAGTCCACAAGTTTGAGACCAGCCTGAGTAACAGTGAAACCCTGTCTCTAAAAAAAGCCGGGATTGTGGCAGACGCCTTTAAGTCCCAACTGCTCAGGAGGCTGAGGCAAGAGAATCACTTGAGCCTGAGAGCTTGAAGTTGCTGTGAGCTGTGACATCACATCATTCTACCCAGGGTGACTGAGTGAGACTGTCTCAATAAATAAATAAATTATTGGGCCACTACTGTGTATGTGGAATCCAGGAAGCCTTTACTCCTATGCTGTGGTACTTTTTCGGGACTTTCCTAATACCTCAGCTCTCAAATTCTTTCACCATCTCAACTTTAAAACCTAACTGCCCAGAGCAGGTACAATTCCCATAAACCTGGCTGGAATGATTCTATCTTTGAAAGGAGTAGTAATCCAAGGCTTTGTGTGACTGCCTTTCTGCCTGCTCCCATTCTCGAGAAGACAGTCTCTTGAGACACTCCAGACACAAGAAGCTATTTGATCTTTAACCTTCCTTCTCCCTCTTCCCCACATTACTCCAGACTAATATGATCTGAGAGCTAGTGAAGGAGGATAGCTGGAACTAAGTACAACATTCCACCTCACTGGCAGAGCCCTGCAGACACCTAGAAGGGCCCAAGTAAGGATGGGCAGCTGTCTCTAGTCCCGGTCATCCCTCCAGCTGCTGTTTGACAACTATTGAAGCATTTGCTATCTCCTCCTTTCATGCAGTCTTCCCAGAAGAAAGGTCCCAGAATCAAAGGTTTGATTCTTTTTTTTTTTTTGCTTTCAACTTATCATACTTTGAACTTTTTTTTCTTTAATTTTTTTTTCTTTTTTTTTTTTTACCTTCTTCCTCCTGTAGTGTTCTCTTGCCCCCCATGTAGCTGGGATCACAAGGTCTAGCTGTCTTGTTGTTGTTGTTGTTGTTGTTGTTGTTGTTGAGACGGGGTCTCACTCTGGCTCACTCTGCCTCAGGCTGGTCTTCCCGAACCTCTGAGCACAGATGATCCACCCGCCTCAGCCTCCCACAGTGCTGGGACAACAGGAGTGAGCCACCACGCCCAGCCAAAGATTTGGTTCTTAACACTGTCAGCCCTGGTCTAAGCCAGATCATTCTGAGAAGGAGTTTCTGGGCAGCCACTAGGGGGACAGAAAGTCTGGAAAACAGGGAACAAGTCCCCTTTGACACTAATTCTCATGGGAGCCAGCTGCTTACAGTGTGCAAATAATTACCTATTACTATTTCTTACTCTGGGAAAAGTCTGACAGAGCTGGAGTCCTGTCTGTATTGTAATACAAGCCATAAACCTTGTCTTCTATCTCTATGCTGAAATTCCCGCTACACCCCCCACGTCGCTGAAATGCCCTCTACACACCCCACGTCTTCCCTTCATATTTTATAGTCCCTGGAGCTCAATACAGGAGACAGGAGGTGTATTAGGTGTATTAGTCGTCAAAGGAGGTGCTGTCTGCTTCCTCACCTCCGCCAGGGGGTGCCTCCTATGTCTGCTGACCTCTGGTGGTGATAGTTTGAACTGTACTCTTCCTTTCTAGTTGGGGCATATGTTCTCAATGGTTCAAATTCAAATATTCATATATTGTATTAAATGTAATTCTTTTCATTGCTAAATTTTGTATTTGTTTTCAGTTAGCATGGCATAATACAAAGAACAGAGCTGGGCATTGGAGTCAGACTTGCCTAGATTCAAATCCTTCCTATGCTATTTCCTAGTAGAGTAACCTTGAGGAATGTTTACCTAAGTTCAGTTTTCTTACCTATAAAGTGGAGATAATATCTCGGTGAGAGAATAAGATGATTGTAAAATGCATATCCCTAGCTGTGCCCCAGCACATAGTAGGTGCTCAATGTTTATTATCCTCACAATAATGGTGATCTGTGCCATGTGTGAATCACTGTGTTTTTAAACTGAGTCTCACTTTCTTGCCCTGGCTAGAGAGCAGTGGTGTGATCATTGCTTGAACTCCTGGGCTCAAGGGATCATTCTGCCTCAGCCTCCTGAGCAGCTGGGACTACAGGCACATGCCACCATACGCAGCTATTTTTTTCTATTTTTAGTAGAGATGAAGTCTCATTCTTGCTCACACTGGTCTCAAACTCCTGAGCTCAAGGGATCCTCCTGCATTTGCCTCCCAGAGTACTAGGATTACAGGCGTGAGCCACCACACCCAGCCTAATGCTATCTTTTGAGTGAACATCATACTACATATTGCTATTGTAATTCAATTCAACTTCAAAAAGTAATATATACATAATATTTTAAATGTGTATACATCTTTTTGGCACCCGTGGTATAGATTAGAAAAGATTTTGGGCAAAGCTGAATGACTCTAAGCATTTGGTTTCCAACCTAACAAGGGCTGACCAAGTCCAGCACCTTCCAAAGGCAGCAAAGGGCAGAGATTTTAAGTTAGGTATCACTGGCTTCTCAGCTGGGCCTCTACCTCCTCCTCCCACTGTCCAGGAAAAGAGGAGGTGGCTGAATAGAGGAGGATATAAGATTGGTTCTGCTCCTCCCTTTCTTTCCCTGCTTTCCCCACACCTCCCTCTCCCCCACAGCAGCCTTCTCCCCCACAGAGACTGGGATAGGATGAGGGGGGCGGAGTTGGGAACTGAGGGATGGGAAGCCCCATGATGCCCTGTATCTGAAGAAAGCCCTGGCCAGGGACAGCTGTGCTGGCTCATGCTCTTCTCCTGCTGCCATCCTTCAGCAGGATGCTGGGGTCTCTGGGACTTTGGGCATTACGTCCCACAGCTGTGCAAGGTAAGTATCTACAAGGAAAGGCAGAGTTTTTCCACCCACCTGATGAGGGAAAGGGGCACCCGAAGCAACAGTCCTCCCTTTGGCAGAAAGGTGAGTGAGCTGGGTGGGTAAGGGTAAAGGGTAGAACCATTGTCCCCATGGCGGGGGTCATCCAGGCCTCTGCTGATCCTGTTTCCTCCTATAGCTTTCTCATACTGATGCTGGGAACTGAAACATATTTTATCTATTCTTCTGGCCACTGTTTTGCCTCTGCATTCACTCCCATCATGAATCCTCCCCTTTCCCTACCCTGGGCCTCAGCACCTCCAAACAGGCGGACCTGTGTGTTCTTTGAGGCCCCCGGAGTGCGGGGAAGCACAAAGACACTGGGAGAACTGCTAGGTACAGGACCAGGGCCCCCCAGGGTTATCCGCTGCCTCTACAGCCACTGCTGCTTTGGGATCTGGAACCTGACCCAAGACCAGGCACAGGTGGAGATGCAAGGTGAATGGCAAAGTATATGGCAGGTGACAGGGTGGATGGCACACACATACTGGGGAGTGAGTGGGTGCAGTCAAGGGGGGAGGGGAAAATGGAATGTGTTGGATGGGAAGAAAAGCCCATGTGAGATAGAAATGGTGCCCCCATAGAGAAGGGATTTATCTATTCTCTCTGTTCTCAGAACCCACTGCACTCTTCTCTCCAACTCTCCCTTTCTCTCCTCTTCCCCTAATCCCACCCCATCAGGATGCCGAGACAGTGATGAGCCAGGCTGTGAGGCCCTCCATTGTGAGCCAACCCCCCGAGCCCACCCCAGCCCTGGCTCTACTCTCTTCACTTGCTCCTGTGGCACCGACTTCTGTAATGCCAATTATAGCCACCTGCCTCCTCCAGGGAGCCCTGGGACTCCTGGTGCCCAGGGTCCCCAGGCCTCCCCAGGTAGCCACCTGGGTTTGCTGAGCCCAGTGGGGGCTGGGGCCCAGGTTAGGATGAGAGGTAGAACCAAGGCCACTTCTCACCCTACCCCCACCCCAAACTTCCCTCCTCCTGGCCTTGGGAAGTTAGTTGCCCTGGTGACTGGGAGATAAAGGGGCTCTTGACCAGGGTGGGGGTGGGTTGAGAAGCAAGCTCTCTGAACAATAGAGAGCAGGTTTGGGGCAGGGTTCACCAGCCTGTGTTCTTGCCTTGATGTCCAGGTGAGTCCATCTGGATGGCACTGGTGCTGCTGGGACTGTTCCTCCTCCTGTTGCTGTTGCTAGGCAGCATCATCTTGGGTACTAATCTGCCCCATCCCTCCCTTGTGACTCTAAGACATTGTCCAAAGCTCTGAACCCTCTCTAGGCACCCCTGACTCCATGGTCCTGGATCTCTATAACCTGACTCCCATTACTCTCTTACAAAGCCCTCTTCTCACAAAGTCCCCTTCCCTGTCCCCATGCGTGTACACCTGGACCCTAGACTCTTCTCTGTCTCAGTTCTACTACAGCGAAAGGCCTGCAGAGTACAAGGTGGGCCAGAGCCAGAGCCAGACTCAGGCAGAGACTGGAGTGAGGAGCTACCTGAGCTGCCCGAGCTATGTTTCTCTCAGGTGCCCCAGGGAGGGAGAGACTGGCTCCTCTGGGGACTCCTGGAGGTTGTGCTGGGGAGGAAGCCTGTTTCTTGTGTATCTCAGAAGCCCAGACCCAGCATAGTGTCCCCACCAGGTTATCCAAGAAGGAGGTCACACAGTGGTATGGGCCGGGCGGCTGCGAGGTGAGCTGGTAGCCATCAAGGCCTTCCCTGCAAGGGCTGTGGCCCAGTTTCGAGCTGAGAGAGCATTGTACGAGCTGCCAGGCCTACAGCACGACCACATTGTCCGCTTTATCACTGCCAGCCGTGGGGGCCCTAGCCCTTTGCTTTCAGGGCCCCTGCTGGTACTGGAACTACACCCCAAGGTGAGGAGTAAGGAATGTATGTGTGTATGCCTGTGTGTATGTATGGGCTTGGGGGCTTCTGCTTTAGACTTTCTCTTCTTTAAAATGTTAAAAACAATTTTTAGGCCAGGCACAGTGGCTGGTGCCTGTAAACCTAGCACTCTGGGAGGCTGAGGTGGAAGGATAGCTTAAGCTCAGGAGGAGTTTGAGAACAGCGTGAGGAAAAGCGAGACCCCATCTCTACTTAAAAGAGAAAAACTAGCTGGGCATAATGGTACATACCTCCTGTAACTACTCTCAAGGCTGAGGCAGGAGGATCCCTTGAGCTCAGGAGTTTGAGGTTGCCATTGCACTGAGTTTGCTGATGCCACTGCACTCTACTTAGGGTGACAGAGTGAGACTCTATCTCAAAAAAAAGAAAAAAATTTTTTTTTTAGAGACAGAGTCTCACTTTGTTGCCCTTGGTAGAGTGCTGTGGCGTCACAGCTCACAGCAACCTCCAGCTCTTGGGCTAGGGTGATTCTCTTGCCTCAGGCTCCTGAGTTGTTGGGACTACAGGCACCTGCCACAACGTCTGCTATTTTTGTTGCAATTGCCACTGCTGTTTTAGCTGGCCAGGGCTGGGTTTGAACCCATCACCCTCCATATATGGGGCCTGCACCCTACCCACTGAGCCACAGGCACCACCTGCCAAAAAGCAATTTTTATTCTTGTTTATTACCTAAGCAATACAGACATGGACATACCCTCAGGCTTAACCCTCCAAACTCATTCATATGTTCATGTAACAAATATTTATAAACCATATGTCAAGTACTTTGCTAGATGCTTAGAAAAACAGTCCTCGCTTTTACAGATTTTATAGACCAACGGGGAAGACAGAAATGGATCAAGTAAACACAAAAACAAGTGTCAAATGTCAAGCGTGCTTAGTACTAAAAGAGAGGGTCCATAGTACCAAAGGAGAATAATAAGATGTGACTTGAGAGGAAGACCAATGAACGATAAGGAAGAGAATGATGTTGGCAGAGGCCAAACCACACTGGGCTTTATGAGCCTGCTAAAGACTGGGGACTTTTTTTGGTTTCTATACCATTTTCCTTCTACTTCATGTACTTTATTTTAATTTTTTTCCTTTTTTTTTTTTTTGGCTGGGGCTGGGTTTGAACCCACCACCTCTGGCATACAATGCACTTTATTTTATATTTATTTATTAATTATTATTTTTTGGTAGAGACAGAGTCTCATTCTACCGCCCTCGGCAGAGTGCTATGGTGTCACAGCTCACAGCAACCTCCAACTCCAGGACTTAGGCGATTCTGTCACCTCAGCCTCTGGAGCAGCCAAGACCACAGGTGCCCGCCATAACGCTGGGCTGCTGCAGTTTGGCTAGGGCTGGGCCAGAACCTGCCACCCTTGGTACATGAGGCCGGCGCCTTACCCACTGAGCCACAGGGGCTGCCCAAAGTGCGGCTATTTTTTTTTATTGTTGTTGTTGCAGTTTGTCAAGGGCTAGGTTTGAACCTGCCACCTTCATATATGGGGCCAGCGCCGAGCCACAGGTGCTGCCCAGAAAGTCCCCACTTTAACCATGTAGCTCCTGGATTAGCTGAACAATCACTGTTTTTGCTTAACTTTTTCTGACTTCGGCTGGGCACGGTGGCTGATGCCTGTAATCCTAAGCACTGTGGAAGGCCAAGCGGGTGCATTGCCTGAACTCACAGGTTCAAGACCAGCCTGAGCCACAGGGAGACCTCATCTCTAAAAATAGTCTGGCATTGTGCCGGCACCTGTAATCCCAGCTACATGGGAGGCTGAGGCAAGAGAATCGCTTGAGTCTAAGAGTTTACGGTTGGCTCGGCGCCTGTGGCTCAACTGGCTAAGGCGCCAGCCACGTACACCTAAGGTGGCGGGTTCGAGTCCAGCCTGGACCCGCCAAACAACAATGACGGCTGCAACCAAAAAATAGCTGGGCGTTGTGGCGGGCGCCTGTGGTCCCAGCTACTTGGGAGGCTGAGGCAAGA